AAAAGTAAGAAGAAAAAAATGAGTGAAGGCAGTTTGTAGAAGAGCAAATCTGAATGTTCAACAGATACAGGAAAAGGTTCACTAATAGAGAAATACAAATTAAAGTGGCGCAACGAGGCCACAGAGGATATCTCTTTATTCCCTTCAGACTGGAAAAAACAATATCCATTGCTGATGGGCTTGCAGAATGTGGGTACTACTGGTGGGAATGTGAATTGTCACAGCCATGTGGAAAGCAGTCTGGTGACTCATGTACCTCCAGTCCACCCATCCCATGGCCGAGACCCAGTTCCTTATGAAATGGGAGCATAGATGTAAGAGTATATGTTCAAGGATGTTTATTGCAAGCATTGTTTGTAGTGGTAAAAAAAACAAAGCATATTCATTGACAGAGTTTAGGTGAATGCATTATGGTGCAATATTTTCAGACCAGTAAATATTACGTATCTACTAAAAAAGAATGCATTTGTGCTATGCAAATTAACTTTTATGAGTAGTTGACTGAGACAAAATAAGGAAAAATATAAACACCCTATTTTGTAAAGCAACGACTAAATTTAAAAACTATCCTATGGGTATATATGATTGCGTAGTGACTGGTAATAATGATTCTGTGAACATGGAGGAAGTATAGAAATGACATAATGGTTTGTTATTAATAAAATGGACTACTTGGGGATAGAAGGATCGGGTGAGATGGGGAGCTAGGCAGAAGTGTAATAGTAAAAAAAAAGACTACTAATGCTGTCGACTGTTCTCCCCAGTAAATATGAAATGGTCACGTGTAAAATTATATGTGTGTATATGTATCAAGAAATATGAACATAAAACAGAGAGGTGTTCCCAAGAGCAGCTTTGCATCGTGGCCACTCTGTGACGATCTAACATGGTTTTAACTACGTCCTGGAGTAAGTGTAAAAAAGTTCTCAAATGTGGACTGTTCCCAGAGCAAAGCCAGGTTCTACAGGAGGCTGGAGATTTCAGCAGAGTCCTCGGTCTCCTGGCAGCCCCATGGCTGGATCAGGCAGTCTCAGCCATTGGGTGGCAACCAGGTCAGAACTCGGGGAACAGGGATACAGGGATCCTAGTGGATCCTGGGCAGCTAGGTCTAATTCCAGTGCTTTAACTGGAGGGACAGAGGTGTCCTATAGCAGGGGCCTCCTGCTCTAAGGTTCCTCCTATCCACAATCCAAACTGGCTTCCTGGGGGCTGCTCAGGTGGGGATGACAGGTGGGTAGAACTTGAGTGAGACCACATAGTGACTGATTTTTTGTTTCTTTTGTCAGTGACAATGAAGTCCAGAGAATACATCTTTAGGGGAAAATATTTTACAAACCAGAATTGAAGGCTGTTGAGTTTTTGTTGGTGATGAGTTTAATAAAACATTGACTTTCTTTCCTCTCCCTCCCCTTCCCTGCTCCCCACCCAGCTGGATGTGTGGAATCTGGTGAAAATGTAATGAATACAACTTACGTTTTTTCCAGGAAAAATCTTAAAAGGTATGCAATTGAGGGAATATTTGAAACGCGTACCCTTACTTTCTTGCTTTTGCTGAGTACCAGTGCCTTTTTCTAAAACTGTGATTCCTCTGTCAGGCCTATCGCTCACCTTCCGTGTCCTGGAAAAGCAACGCTTGCTGTCCGCTGCTGCCCAGTCTACTTTGAATTGAGGCCGGTGGTGGAAGCAGGTACCCTCAGAACCAGGGCTTATGTTAGGTTTTGTCCCTGAGGCACGTCGCCAGAGTGAGGTGGAGATTTGGATTCTGACTTGTGGGGACAGGCGGGTATGTGGGTTTCATTCAGTTTAGTTACTCTTAAAGGCCAGAGCAAAGACAGATATTATCAAAATATGTGCCTGTTTTTTATTTCATTGTTCAGAATACACTTTCTTGCTTAAAGTAACTTTAAAAGAATATTAGCACTTGTTTTGTTTTTCCACTGGTTGAATGTCATCCAGTGTCAAGTTTCTATGCAGTAAAATTGTGTGTGAATTGGATTTTTGTTTTTAACTCCCCCACCCCCAGCTGCTTTTAAGATTTTTCTCTTTATCAGTGGCTTTAAGCAGTCTGGTTATAATTTACCTTGGTGTGATTTTCTTCATATTTCTTGTGCGTGGGGTTCGTTGAACTTCATAGATATGTGGGTTTATAGTTTTTAGCAAATTTGGCAAGTTTCAGCCATTCTTTCAAACACTTTCTCTGTCATCTCGCTCTTATTCAGATACTCCAGTTACACATGTATTAGGCTGTTTGGAGTTATCCCATGGCTTATTGATACTCTGTTTACTTTTTTCAGTGGTTTTTTTCTTTCAGTGTTTTATTTTAGAAGTTTCTATAGCTGTGTTTTAAGTTTACTAACCTTTTCTTCTGTGTGATCTGCTGTTGGTCCCATCCAGTGTATTTTTCATCTGTGACATTGTAGTTTTCATCTCTAAAAGTTCAATTTGGGCCTTTCTTATATATTCCGTGTCTCCGCTTAACATGCTCCATCATTCCTCCTCTTGAACATGTAGAATGCAGTTATAATAACTCTTTTAATGTCCTGTGTACAAAAGGCTGGTTTTGATTGATTTTTTTTCTCTTCATTTGGGGATATATTTTCCTGCTTCTTTGCATGCCTGGTAATTTTTTATTAGATACCAGACATTGTGAATTTTACCTTAGTGGAAACTGGATATAGTTTTGTTCTTATAAATATTCTTGAAGTTTATTCTGGGATGCAAATAAGTTACTGAGAAACATTTGATTCTTTTGGGTCTTGCTTTTAAACTTTGTTAGGCAGCATTTACTCCAGGGTTAGTTTCCCTACTCCTGAGGCAAAGCCTTCTGAGTAATCAATGCCCTGTGAAACATGAGGTTTTCCACTGTGGCTGGGGGAGCACGCACTGTTTCTGGCCCGTGTGAGCTTCAGAGATTGTTCTTTCTAATAGTTCTTGCTCCAGCCTAACACGTGAGCACTGGTCAGTACTCAGCTCATGACCCAAGAGAGACCCTGAAGATCTCTACAGCTCTTGTCTCTGGTCCTCTGCCCAGGGAACTCCAGCTGCCTTGGCCTTCCCAGACTCTCAGCAACATCTTCTCAACCCGGGGAGTCTTCTGGGCTCTGCTGGGCTCCCTCTACCTTAACTGGGCCTGGAAACTCCAGGCAGTAATTTGAGGCAATGGTAGAACTTAGCTCATTTGCTTCCCATCTCTCGGGGATTACTGTCCTTCATCGCCTAATGGCCAGTATCTTAAAACTGTTGTTTCATATATTTTGCCAGTGTTTTAGTTTTCTTCCAGGTGGGAGGGTAAATCCGGTCTCTGTTACTCCATGGCCAGAAGTGGAGGCTGTTTTTAACTTTTGATCCAATATGTGAATACATAAACATCCTTGATAAAATGCTTTTAAGTAACGGTTATTTTTCCTTATCAGAGAGTGACCCCTCAGATTGACTTACCCCACTCACACGCCTTCTTTGTGTTCTCTTCCCTTTTGGACCTCAGTGTCCATGATTCTTGGTTTGTGGCACACTGTCCTCACTGATTTGTGCATAGTTCTCTTGTATTTATATATTCATATGTAAAATAATGGAAGGAGCTGAATTCTTTTGTAAAGCATATAATAAACTAGTTTTTCGTAAAATTATGTCATTATGTCCCCCAGGAGAGGCCTTTTTTGGGAAAATTAGTTACTAGTTTCCTTCGGGAACTTTGCTTTTGTTTTACTCTGTCCCTCTTCCCTGCCGCAGACAAATCGTCACAGGAGCCAGGTGTAGAGCTGATGCATCTGCCCTACCGCCTGGTGTTCGCTGTGGCGTCAGAGGACTCCGTGCTCTTTTACGACACCCAGCAGCCCTTCCCTTTTGGCTATGTGTCTAACATACATTACCACACCCTGAGTGATGTCTCCTGGTGAGTAGTGAGCGAAGGAGACGGTGCGTTACCCTGGCCTAGGCCCTGGGCTTAGGGAGCATTTCATTACCGAAGAGGACTTATTTAGCCCTATTCACCAATTGTTTTTTAAAAGAAGTCAACATTAAAAGGAAAGCCATTTCCAGTTTGCCACAATACTCGCTTCCTACTTTGGCACCAGTGGGTTTTGATGCCATTCAGGTTGCCATACAGGATTATCAAACTCTGATAAGTGGAGAGGGCAGCCATGTAGACTCCCTGGTCATATTTGGGGACTTGTCAGGCCGTCGAGGAAGAGGCTGTCCCCCTGCAAGTCCCTTGCTTCCCAGAGCAGGGAAGGTGCCCCAGAGCCATGCCTGTCCTGAGGGTGTCACTCAGCACTCTGCCCTTTGGCTACCTGTGGTCCCCTGGTTGAGCCTCTACTGCCTGTTCAGCCCAGCGTGAGCTCCAGCCAAGGCTTCGCCACCTACCATCTATTTGTTGTTCCTTATAACTCTTTTTTTTTCTTTTAATTTTCTTTTTATCTTAGGGGAGAAAAAGGTCATCTTGCCTTTATTCAAATGAAAAGTTGATAGTAGTACAGACAGGTTGTGATGACTTAGAAAATTGAGGTAGGATTGGGAAAGGAAACTGCATGAGTAAGGAGCTCATACAAACCCTTTCTTTTCTAGTCAAGCTTGTGATTTTGCTTGAACTTCCATTTTGTAACTAGTAATGGGAGTGTTAGGTGTGGTCCGTAGACTTTGGTTAAGGTCTGTAACTTTTCTCCCTGTTTTGGGAACAAAGGTCCAGCGATGGGGCCTTCCTGGCCATTTCTTCCACGGATGGTTATTGTTCATTTGTAACATTCGAGAAGGATGAACTTGGAATTCCTTTGAAAGAGAAGCCAGTTTTGAGCATGAGAACTCCTGATACAGCAAAGAAAACTAAGAGTCAGACGCACCAAGGGTCTTCACCAGGATCTAGACCTGTAGAGGGAACCCCCACCAGCAGAATCCAAGACCCCAGCAGCCCGTGTACGACGCCCCCTCAGGCCAAACAGTCTCCAGCCCCAACGGTGATCAAGGACACTCCCTCAATTACTCCTGGTGTCAAAAGCTCCTTGCCAGCACCTTCAGAGGAGAAGAACCTGCAGCCCAGTAGTCAAAACACAAAAGCCCACCCATCCCGAAGGGTCACTCTGAACACATTGCAAGCCTGGAGCAAGACAACGCCCCGGTAAGAACTTTTGATAGTATAAGACTTGTCATTGCAAAACGAAAAATGAAATACAAACTGAGCACCCCCAACCTGATGTCTGCTTATCCCCTCTGACTCTGTATACTCCCTTCTCCACCAGTCCCTCTACCTCCTCATCTTCCAGGTCAGCTGAGCGGGGAGGTGGGCTGGGGAGGGATGGGATGGC